GGATGGAACAGAAATGTTGCCTTACAAAAGTCTATTTACGAGCCCATCGAAGATTTGTTTCAAGTGTTCTTTAACACCAAGAGACTAACGGTGACTCTTTCCTTATGCGAGGCGATATAACGTCCCAATTCCTACCGGACATGACAACATATTTATACATCATGCACAGTCAAACAGACGTCCCTCTTTATCGTGGTTTATACTACAGGATGAATAAAATCCATGTAACAATTTCAAAAATTCAGTCGACAATTTGTAATATGGGCTGTCTATTAAAAAGTTATTCAATATAAAACAAGGAGATGTGGTAAGATTGCCAATGAGATAACCATCCACGGAGTCCAAATGACGGACGTGGATGTAAGCACCTTTTGGTCACCGTACGGTCTTCAACAATTAGCAACACCTATATCGATAGTCAGCTATAAAGGGCCCTTACATTACAAAATATAAAGCAAAATAAAAACGAGAACCAATGACTTGATTATGACATAAAGCCAATTACAACTAATTAATAAATCATGTTCTCTCAGACTTAGTTCAATTTAAGTTCATATCACTCATAAATATGAACTTGAATCGCAATTAATTAAACAGAAATTTTTTCCAACTAATTTTAATATTCTAAACTTATCATTGAGTCGCCAGAAGCGATAATAAACAAAATATAATTGTATAATAAATTGGAGATTAAAAAATATATCAAAAGTACAATATTCATTTCAGATAAACTACGTGTTTAAAATGGAATTATGGGTCTTTCCATTTTATGGTCTTGTTTGGGGGAGGGGGTATGTCCTTCATGTCTTTATTCTTTAATATTTATGTCATTTTTCTCTATTTTTGATTTTTTGGTCCATTATTCTCTTTTTATTATATATTTAGTACCCCAGTATTCTGTATTCATTATTTGTTTTACCCTTTATTCTGTATTCTGTAAACCCCGTCCAGAAATTTGATTTAATCAGGCAATTTGTTTTCTCTTTCTTTTAAAGGGGCAGTAGCTGTCATATTGAACCAAATTGGCTGCTAAAAAGCGAATTATTATTTTACTATTTCCCTTTCATTACTTAATGAACAAAAAAAAATCATATTTTAATTTTTTTTAAATCTCGTAGCGATTGCCCCTTTAAATGTTTCCCATTGTGTTATCCCTGGACCTTTATAGCTGGACAATTGTCTCTTTTGCAATTATACAACACCTCGATATTTTTATATCTATGAAAGTTATGTACAAGTTAACTATTTCCTAATCTCATTGTATTCCCTATTAATGTTTATATACGACAACAATTGCTACAATTGACACATGCAAATTTTTTAACCAAAGACTGTTTTACTGTTCTAATATCATGAAATGAAAAATAAAACTTAAACATGTTTAAAAAACTGTTCACCTAAGATAATATTGTATGCTAAGACTTCTGCATGTTTTTTTAGACAAAAGAGTACGAATTAAATGATATATGTCTTTTTTAATTATTTTTATGTCAGGAAAATGATTTGCTTGTGTAACACTAAATATTTATGTATATTTTAAAAACTGTAAATCAACGAAAAAAAAAAAAAAAGTACACATTATTATTGACTGCGCAAAATATTTGAATGTATTAAAAGAAACACACACCAAATAAAACAACACATCTGTGTAAGCCTCCCATAGACCACATCATAACGTTACAAAAGGTTAGCTGACAAAACATTTGACGAAGAGTTATTTCATTTTCTCATTGAATATAAGGAAATGTTAGAGTAAAGAAGACATTGGATACATGCTTTTCATACAAATATGTTTTGTTCTTCTAAAATACTAAACAGCCAAATGTGGTGCAGGATCTGCTTACCCTTCCGGGGCACCTGAGATCTTCCAGTTTTTGGTGGGGTTCGTGTTGCTCAGTCTTGAGTTTTCTATGTTATGTTATGTGTACTATTGTTAGTCTGTTGGTCTTTTTCTTTTTTAGCCATGGCGTTGTCAGTTTATTTTCGACTTATGAGTTTAAATGTCCCTTTGGTATCTTTCGCCTCTCTTTTAATGTCTACAATCTACCAAATATTTCATTTTATCAATCAATAAATGATCTTTTCTATTTTGACTTGCATTGCTTAAATTGTAGCTGGATAACGATTTACATAGACAGTTATAGTCGGGTTGTCTGTAAAGCTTTACAAATTTGTGTTTTGATTCTGAGGTGGCGAAACATACTCGACTCGATGTATTGAGCAGGGAATCAGCAAGAACCAATTTAAAACATTTGATATAGTTTTTAAAAAGTAAATCATATCAAATTTAAAGATTTGTTAATCTTTCACAGTGACACGAAAAACATAGAGCCTTGAAAAATTGAATAATCTCATACAAGAGGGTTTAGTTGGGGTTTCCAAAATAGAGAATAAGAGCCCAATGCTACCGAAAAATAGATAAAAAAAAAAATAAAGAATACAGACAAAAAAGGCCAAAAAAAGAAATAAAGAATAGAAAATATTGGGGTGCTTAAATATAAAAAAGAAGGGAATAATGGGTAAAATTTATAAAGAATAGAGAAAATGGCTTTAAAATTTAAAGAATATAGAATTGAAGGACCCCCATTCAGACCCTCATACAATGGGTTGGATCAGTTTCAGTAAAGTTCAATACTGCGTTTTGAAAAAAGAACTTTGTTTAATAAAAGGCGACCAATTGGCTAAACCCTAAAAAGTGTTTAATTCAGTAATTCAAAAGGTAAAACATAACCTTCGCGTTACCACACTTAATGTTTTCTTCTTGTATATGTAGACTTCCTTATAAACCTTCATTCAGTCTTTAAATCAAATTAACGAGTATTTTTAACTATTCTCAAATTCCACTTTTTGATTTAAGACATGCTGTCTGTATTTATATATTACATATGCATTGAATTTATTTAAATATGTTTTAACTTTGAATTCATTTACATATATGTCTGTTTTCTGTATAAAAGTTTATTGAAAAAAAATCTCAAAATTATACAGAGAATTCTGCGGTAACAGGGTTTGACGTTTATAGACTTTGCACTATTATTTTGTCACCTTCAATAATATGTGACAAACATATTGACAAGGTAAATGACACACACAAAAAAAACAACAAAAATAACATATTGAGCTGACATAGTTATACTTTTGCCGATGGATGCACTTTTGTAAACGGTAAAATAAAACATTTTATACAAGTCAGGTTTGCACTAAATTCTGTATCTGTTATGACGAAGTGCAGTTGTAAGATTTTCAGTCTATGTTGTCAGGTGAAGTAAGGCTTTTTAGACATGTGCAGACTTAATTCTTGTTATAGGTAATCAATGAGGGAATGGAGTAGTTAAGATGCACGAGTTGATAGCACGAAGGAATTTTGTTCCCTTTTTCTATAATCATAATTTATCAAATGAGTCGTGGGTTATGCCAGCATTTGGTAAATTGAGAAAAAGAAGACGAATGGGTAGAGGGTGTGAGGTAACTGATACAAAATTAGAATATAATTTTTTTTTTAAATCTTGCATCAGATGCGGAAAATAAAATTTTCAAAGATCTGCTCGAGAACAAATATCTGAGTTTCTTTCTTTCCTTGTGTAATAGTATAAAAGCATTTGACTTCTTGATCATTTTCACCAATATTCCTCATTCTAACCTTTTGTAGTCATGTTGAAAGAATAAGTCCAACCTTGTTTCATGAAAAGAATTGCCAACGTGGATAAACATATCTCATTTTAGGAAGGGACTTATCATTATTCGGAAAAAAACAACAACTCTGATTCGAACAAATAGATCTCTGAAACTGCCATCCTCAAGATGCTTGATTATTTGGTTGATAACATATTCATTACGTTTGGTGGACGTGGTTTTTAACAGACAGTGGGCATTCTAATAGGAAACAACTATGCAACTCTTCTCATCGGCTTGTTTCTTTATTCGTATGAGGCAGATGTCATATAGGGCTTCTCAAAAAAGAATGACAAGATGCAAGAAAGAACTTAAACATAACTTTCCAATATACAGAAATGTCCTCTCACTGGAGAACAGTGACCACGGATATGTTCCACTTGGCTCAGCAACAATCCCGCCTCCTTTTACTCGAAAGTGACATTACCGAATGCCACTTATAGTTTTGCTTGACATAAGTAACACAATGGGATTTATTATCTATAGCACAGGACTGATATCCCTTCAAGAGTTTATAAAAATATTTAATTATATTTTTCTGCGTAGGTTTTTATGGACTGTTCTTTGTCTGTTCGTCTGTTCGTCTTCTTTTCTTTTCACCATCTGGCATCATAGTGTTGTCCGGTTTTTTCTCGACTTTATTGTTTTATTGGTCACGTTCTTCTAACCATGTAACTTTTAGACTATAGAACACATCAAAACAGTATTATTAAATCTAGAATCTATAGTTCTTCCATGTAAAATAATTTCATTCTTCCGTATGAACGATAATTTTACACTGCTTTCTTTACATTTTATGACAATCTTTCTCATTTTGGTATCATCTTCATTACAAAAATTTCTATGCTACAAAAACACTATTTCTTACAGTTTTGATTAATGCATTTACCAATAAAAACTATTAACAAATAAAAGTATCAATAATTTCTTTCAGAGATACCAGACTTATATAACTAAGGATGTAAGTTGTTGGTTCAAATCAATGTTTGGGAAACATTTGCTGCATCAAAATGGTTACTAAAAAATCACATTTATTTATTTAAAACCATTTCTAAAATTTAGGTAGAGTTTGCCTTACATTGTATGTCACTCACCCTGAGTGATAAATTAGGTATATCAAAGTATTGATATAATAAAATGGTCAAAACTATTGTTCTAAGTTTTATAACAATATGGAGATTTTTTTTGTTGAAATATGGTTGGTCATTATATGAGTACATTTTTGTACATGGATTTTGAAATTAATATGTTTTAACGTTTTATTCTAATGTGCAGATTAACGCTGTCGTAAAAATAATGCAACATTATTATTATTTTTTTTTTTGCAGTTTGCACAATTAATTATTCAATTGTTGCTGGCGCTATGAAGTCTATTGGAGTTTTGTATACAGAATTGTTAGATTATTACGACGCTGGCACTGGAAATACAGCCTGGATATCCGGAGTTAACATATTTGTTGCCCTTGCACTAGGTGAGTTACTTAGCATGTAAAATAAAAAGTTGAAAATACTGTCGATTATTTTTATTTCTGCTGATCATACTTTTTGTTTTTTTTCTATAGATTTAGCGGAAGACTGTCTCGTCCTTTGTAGAAATCTAATGAATCACACTATTTCACACGCAATGTAATAAGATGTGAATTCCAAAAAAATCCAACGATATGTTACAGTACAGACAATAAAAGTCCGTCTAACGGAATAGGATCAACACGTTTGACTTCTTCACCCTAACACTAGTATTCCTATTTCTAAACTTAAAATAAAATTGAAAAATGTAGTCCAGCTTGCTTTCATCAAAAAGTCAATGTAAACACAAATAGCTTGTTTCAATCAGGAAGAAACATATTATACTTTTAGAAAATATTCTAACTCCCACAATAAATCATTTGAAATTGACATTATCAAGATACATACTACTTTGATTAGTAGTTTGACATTAACTTAGGATGCAACTCCCTAAGACAACGTTGACCTCAGATGGATGTGGCTGTTGCGTTTAGGTCCTTTTGAAATTTGCTCTCAAATGTTTCTGTTTATGGTTTTCCAAACTATTGATCCTTAACGAACCTGAAATACGTGTCATGCTACTGAAATATGTCTCGTACGTGTTAACATTTAGTCGACACAGACCACAATTCTTTCAATAGATATATATTTACTGGGAACATCAAACTCACTGGCAGTTCCAGTTCCAGTCTAATGATGGAAAGGATTGATTGATTGATTGACTGTTGGTGATTTCATCTTCAACACTATTGTATATATCGTGGCGGTCATATTTTATTGGTGGAGGAAGCCGGAGTGCCCTGAGAGAACCACCGACATAAGGCAGTAAAACTGGCAATCCTAGTAAATAAAGATTCGAACCCACCTGCCACGCGCGGGTTTCTTACTAACAATCTCCGTGTTGACAGGCTATTGATTAAGTAGATGAACTACTTGGACCATTCGGCCACCGTGCACCGCCCTCTCCCTCCCTTATATGTTATTTTGTAATTTAAGAAATAAAATTTTGTATTTGTATAACAATCTGAATCTGAAGTATTCCGATAAAACACGAAGATGTCTGATGATAGAACTTTTTTCAAGACAATGTACCGTCTCTTTTATTGATTAGATATAAGAAGATGTGGTATGAGTGCCAATGAGACAACTCTCCATCCAAGTCAAAATTTATAAAAGTAAACCATTATAGGTCACAGTACGGTCTTCAACACGGAGCCTTGGCTCACACCGAACAGTAAGCTATAAAGGGCCCCAAAAGATTACTAGTGTAAAACCATTCAAACGGGAAAACCAACGGTCTAATCTATATAAAAAACGAGAAACGAGAAACACTTATGAACCACATCAACAAACGACAACTACTGAACATCAGATTCCTGACTTAGGACAGGTGCAAACAAATGCAGCGGGTTTAAACGTTTTAATGGTACCAAACCTTCACACTTTTTCCGAAACAATAGTGTAACATCACAACATAGAAAAACACACTATAAAATATCAACTGAAATAGCTTAACTCAATCAAAGGACATATTAACACCATTGAACATACACTGAACAAATAAATTTGACCTATGACACAATGTAAATACAAAATAAATAAACTAAGGGAAGAATAATAAAAGTAACATGTTATATCGGTAAGAAATGTTAAATAATTAAAGAAAAACAATATGCTCGAACAAAAATATCATCCATTTGCAATAACTTTAAACACAGGTAAATGAAAATAATTTTGTTGTTAGGTATACCTGTACAGTACCAATAGAGAAAGGAAATATTTTTACAAAATAAATAAACAGCTTTTTATTTTAATTGTTATTGCGTACATTTTTTGTTCATATTACCCCACTTAGGTATGTTTTTTTTTTAATTTTCAGCACCATTTGCAAACTTTTTTGGAGAAAGATATACATATCGAGCAGTTATGATTACTGGGAGCTGTCTCATTTTGATAGGTCACACTTCCAGTGCATTTGTACCTAACATAGAGACTCTCTACTTTACATATGGAATAGTTACAGGTTAGACTTACATAAATTAATCGTTGTTATTAACAATTTTCTGTTTCAATTGCCAGTACTAAAAACCCCTCAAAACAATGACAATAAACCCCCCAAAATATTGAAAAGAAAGAAAAAAAGAACCCTCCAACGATAACTTCAATATGGCTCTCACAAAAATCTACTTGCCACCACAAATACGGTACTTTGACAAAAATTAACCTATGGTTAGACTGTTTCATATTCATATATTTATCATTATGAACAATATGATTATTGTATTGTTTTGCGTATCCTGAGTTCACTATTTTCAGAGATGCTTGTAACTAATAATCAATTTGTCGTAAACGACATAGGAAGTAATATCTACCTTAACAAAAGACTAAGAATTTAACATATGTAAAAAAAGGGAGAAAATACCAAGAGAGCAATCAAACAGCATTTGTTGAAGAAAACAGACAAAGAACAGCAAAAAAAAACACTACACAGAAAAACTAAAGATTGAACAACAGGGACTGTGTAGTTATTTACCATGACTCATTGGTACATTCTGAAAAAGTTTCAGCTGATATACAAATCACAAGCTTTAAAAACCCCAGGGATTAGGCATACTTATTAGGTTTGACCAGTACGGCCGTCTTATATGTAGTTTTACTGATTGTTACCTATTTTAGATTATGAAATTTGGCCCGAGTATGGATTTGTTCGGCGGGCAATGCATACATAGCAAGAGACTCGTACATTATCGACACACCGGTCTCGCTCCTTTTTGAGTTCATGCGATCCCCTTATATTTTATTTGTTACCTTAATTTGTATCTTAATCGATTTATGAGATTGGAACATCGGTGAGTTATGTTAATTGGATTTAACTTGATTTATAATACTAAGCGTACATTACAAATGTTTTTTCTGTTTACAGGGACTGGATATTCACTTATAATGGCTCCAAGTGCAACCGTTATGAATTTTTATTTTAAAGATAAAAGAAGTTTTGCTAATGGGGTAATGGTAGGCAGCAGTGGATTTTGTGGTATGGGATTTCCATATCTTTACCGATTCTTATTTGATAAATTTAATTTGCATGGTGCCTTATTGATAATTGGTGCTTTATTCTTTAATACATGTGCTGCAAGTTTATGTTTGCGTCAACCACCAATGCTTACAAAAAGAAAAAGGATAAGAGAAGAAAGAAGAGAATCATTGATTAATATGTCAGCGGAAGACAGAAAAAGAATTGTAAAGGTTGGACTATTCCAAAACCAAAGGTTTACTGTCTACCTTATGGCGGTATGTTTTCAACTTGCCAATTTTGGTGGAAATCTTGTTGCACTTCCGGGACAAGTTCGATCGCTTCAGTTGGGAAAAGAAACAATTGCACTTTCTGTTTCATTAGTTGGTGCATCAGAAATTGTATGCAGAATATTTTTAGGATGGGTAGGCGACTTGAACATCATGAAACGAACTACAATATTAATGATATGTTCTTTAGGCAGTTGTTTGTCAGCAATTTGCATTCCGTTTGTATTATGCCAGGAGTCATTATTCGTGTATGCAGTACTTGTGGCTTTATTTTCTGGATCTGCATGGAGTTTAGTTGGAGTAATAGTGATAGACTGTGTAGGACTTAATGACTTTTCACCTGGCTTTGGACTTGTGTACATGGGTGTAGCTATATCCACCTTATTAACCCAACCTCTTGCAGGTAAATAATAACTCAAAAACAAGATTATTAATATGATAATATTTTATAAAAAGTAATTTTAAAAAATTGGAATCTGTCAATGTAATCTTATATAATAGTTTCAAACTATGATGTTCTAAAAGAGGGGCGAAAGATACGAAAGGGATATTCAAAGTCATAAGTCGAAAAAAAACTGACAATGCCATAAAAAACGTAAAACTGCCAAAAGAGAAACAATATTACACAAAACTAAACATAGAAAACTTAAGGCTGAGCAACACGAACCCCACCAAAACCGGGGGTGAAGCAGATCATATCTACGATCTAACAGTTAAAAGTATTATCGGATAAAACATTCGATCGAAGTTAAATCAGACGTACTTGATCGGTATCATTCGAGTGAAACCATGACGCTTCACTTACTTCAGACGTACTTGATCGGTATCATTCGAGTGAAACCATGACGCTTCACTTACTTCAGACGTACTTGATCGGTATCATTCGAGTGAAACCATGACGCTTCACTTACTTCAGACGTACTTGATCGGTATCATTCGAGTGAAACCATGACGCTTCACTTACTTCAGACGTACTTGATCGGTATCATTCGAGTGAAACCATGACGCTTCACTTACTTCAGACGTACTTGATCGGTATCATTCGAGTGAAACCATGACGCTTCACTTACTTCAGACGTACTTGATCGGTATCATTCGAGTGAAACCATGACGCTTCACTTACTTCAGACGTACTTGATCGGTATCATTCGAGTGAAACCATGACGCTTCACTTACTTCAGACGTACTTGATCGGTATCATTCGAGTGAAACCATGACGCTTCACTTACTTCAGACGTACTTGATCGGTATCATTCGAGTAAAACCATGACGCTTCACTTACTAGCGCTAATGTTCATTACAGATTTGATCCTTACGGATGCCGAATGTAACTATATTTTCGACTTTGACCACTGGTTAAACAACGGAACCGTATAAGTTTCACGAAGTTGTTGTAACCTTAGGTTTTATATACTTACATAGTTTACATTTGGATATGTATCATTTAGATAATGCCAGTACAAAAGCGCAACTACTGTGTGAATGATAACATCGCGAACTATAAATATAAAGATAAGAAGATGTGGTATCATTGCCAATGAGACAACTCTCCACCAGAGACCAAATGACGTAGAAGTTAACAACTAAGGCCTTCAACAATGAGCCAAACCCATACCGATAAGTCCATCAGTCCACCTCCAGTGGCACTAGCGCAGTGATAGAAAGATATACTATATATCCTATTTTCGTACATGGCTGTACTATTAAGGTAGATCGGGGGACTAATTTAATATTTGACTGCAAACAGCTTCAAAGGAAATTTATTTTTGAAACTTTTTATTTAAATGAATTAAATGAAGAAAAACAAAGATTGCATCTTGTGGTAGCATCTTTTTTATATTACAAAGAATATGTCATCAATTCAAAATGAAATTAACTATCTTATATCAGGGGAGATAACGTAGATTTTTTTTATTAAAGGAAATACAGTAAATATATCTTTTTTGCTTTTTTGTTATGTAGCATGAAAACGAGTACGGTTAACATATTTTCAAGCAATCTTCTCATATTTTATTTTTTAATTACAAGATCGTTTAGTGCTCTTTGTTTACACACAAATGTACTTATCCCGTGATTAGATCTTAAATATGTGACAATTTAACGCAATCTGAGCTTGAAAAAAAAGGTCCGAGCCCCATAATTTGGATTTGATTTTTGAAAGAAGCATGGTATAGACAACGTTTTGGCAAAGTATGAACACATTCTATCGTTATTAATTTAGACACCCCATCTATCTTGATATCTATATCTACAGGTGATTGAGAAAGACAATAAAATTTAAAATACACACAGGACATCGATATTTATAAGAATATAATTTATTACACAGAAAGTATTCCATTAAGTAAATTTCTTACTATGTTATTTGAATTACAGGTTGGTTGGAGGACATTACGGGTAACTGGGATATGTCTTTTCGATTTAATGGTTTCCTAAGTGCGGCTGCCTTCATACTTTGTTTATTTGAATATTTATTCGGCAACATATGTTGTAATAAGATGGTATCGGAAGAGAAATCCAATGTCTGCAAAAAGACTGCATTCAATGAAGTAGTTTTGCAGTGTACAGAAAAGGAAAAGGAAAAGGAAAAGGAAAAAGAAAACACTAGATTCTAAACGTTTTTAAGATGTTTAGAAATATTTTTTTTGATAGAAACGAAAACTGGTTTTAAAATCTAGACCCGTATGCATAAAGCTACTGAAGTTAAGATATCCAATCGTAAAACTAATTTATCGTAGGACATGTAGAAAAAATCCGTCCGTTCGGAACAAATCTTAACTTAAGTAGCTTTATGCATACGGGCCCTAGTCTTTTGATCGATTTTCATTTTAATATGGTCAAAATAAATATATTTAATAAGTTTTTTGTGAAAAATCATCGAAATGTTATTTTTATAGATTTTTTTTTATAATGATCCAAATTTGCAATTTTATTTAGATCGTAGTGTGAATTATATGTACAAATCGTTCATTTGTAAATACCGTTTATCTTCTCATAGCTGAGCTCTAACAATGATTGAAATATGCGTTTATGTCACGTGACATGTGTGAAAAACATTTAATTGAAGACGAATTTCATTTTATTTTAGTTTGTGAAAATATGCCATTATAAGAAAAATGTATATTAAAACTTATAATTGGAGGCTACCATCCAGTTGCAAACTTGTATAACTATTGACTATCCATAATGTAAAAGAATTGAATAATTTAGAAAAATATCTATTTATATATTGCTGAAAAGATCCGTAAATGTTAACTGTATTGTATATATTTTTTTGTCGTTGTGATTTCATGTTGTTTTTTGCATAAATTATTGGCTGGACACTTAATTGTGCTATTGTTCTGTGAATACTGGTTAAATGTTTATATATTCTATGAGCTGTATTGCTTACGAATAAAGTTATTATTATTGTTACAGTGGTATAGTTCATATTGTGTTTGTAAATATGGTCAAAATTTAACTTCTATAAAAATATTAAACAATATATAATCAGTGACAATTTTATAGCAGTTTAAAAAGCATATAGGTAAGTTAGAAACACATTTGGATCAATGTATTAAAACCGTTCATCCGTCCTTCCGAAAGACCATCGGATAGAAAACTTTCGTCAAAGTTTCCTGCATCTATGAAGAGGAATGATTTTGTATTTAGTCTGCATCTTGATAATGTTGATTTGTAGCGTGTCAACAATTTTTACATCAGCCGTTTAGCTACTTCTTGTTTTCTAAAGTTTGAAATTTAACAACACTTATTAAACACGAAAAAATTCGTCAAACTATTCTTGGCTTAAGTGGAAGCGAATAATTTTATGTTTGGTCTGGGGGTTGATAATGTTAAGTGTAGCGTGCATGTAAGCAATGTGTAGTGTTCATCTGTCGTGCAGCATTTTCCTGTTTTTCTGATAATTTAAAATTTTACAACATTCATTGTACACGGGAATTTTTTGTCAATCTTTGCTTTGCTTCTATGGAAGAGAATTATTTTATATTTGGTCTGGAGCTTGATAATGTAGAGTTGTAGTGTGTCAGCTAATTTTACACTTTCCTTACAGTCACTTCCAGTTGGCCGATATTCTCAAATTTCACAACACTCATTGTACAAGGAAAATATTCGTAAAAGTTTTTTATGTTACCTCAATCAATCGCATACAGCAACCCAGGAACAGATCCAGTTTTGGTCTTGATCTCTTTTGAATTGTTTTATATTCTGTAATATCCCCGAGGCCTGTTGTAGCTTTCTTTACAGCATGTTTTGCTCATTGTTGAATGCCGTACGGTGGCCTGTAGTTGTTTATACTCGCGTCCTTTGGTCTTTGGTAGATAGTTTCCTCATTGGCAATCATACCAAAACTCCTTACTTTTATACTTACATAATACTACACGAATCATTGTTGCTTTAATATCAGTTATAAACTGATGGTAGTTTGCTACAACGTTCAGTGGCAACTATTTCCTGCATATTTGAATAGACCTTGGAACATTTATTGTTATTTCAGGTATTTGGAATCGTTTACCATCGTCTATAAAACTCCAAGAAACGCTTTGATATTCAGTGAAATTTGTGTCATATCTTATTTTTGATTTTTTTCATGCATATATTTGTTCATCATCATTTCAAAAATATTTAGTACTGGTGATGTTTCATTCATTAGGAAAATAGAAAATTCGAGAAAAAGTAAGCGTATGTTTATTTAAATCAAGCAATTTTAAAGTTTTTGGTATGACTCAATCTGTATTATTATGTTATTTTTGTTTTATATAACAACAGTTTTCTATTAAAAAAAAACCACACACATAAACAAACACACTATACATTGAAATACACACAAAACATAAGTCAGCACTTTCTGTCAAATGAATGACCACAACTCAACTCATTTCAAAGACTTTCTCGTTTAAGGATGTTTGCTCATCTGCTTCAAAATAACAAGATTTTTAAAGACTGTTATAAATTGATAGTATATAAATAACGGAGCTTAAAAAGTAGAAAAAATGATAGGTCTGTGTCCTTGTGTTTGAGATACATGTATAATCAATTGAAAACTTAGCGGGAACTGATTCTATCTAGATTTTTCGTACATTTAACATTTGGACATTTTTTCTTTCAAAAACTATGAAAAAATAACAAGGGTTTTATCAGATTTTAAAAAATGGCTTTTAAAACTTTATGTAATTAAATTACGAAAAGAAAGGTAGGGGTTAGTGGGCAAAAGTTTTATCAGAACAACATGGATAAAACAAGAGGATTCCGAAAATCTGACAGAATCAAAAGCAAGAGTAGAAAACATCCTTAAACTTTATAACCGGTAGATTTATCGGGATATTGAACACCCTGATCCTTGCTCCTAGGTTCTATGACATAATGAAGGTACCAGATTTTGACAACTATATCTCGTACGAGAATATCAGACGAGACTTCCCTGACTAGTTTTAAAAGCAGGACTCCATCTTGTCCAATGACTGAATTAGTGAACGTTGCAGTTTGGGTTTTAGTTGGTGCAAGGCTGGCCATCTTCAGGTATTTAAGTATGAATCTGAAAGGAAGTAAATAAAAGCTTAATGTTGACACGATAAAACTTAAAACAAACATGCTGTAATATGTTCCAATATATATGTATGTTGGACTTCAGTACAAGAAAAAAAAAAAGATTCAACCATCGCATCAAGTTGAATCTGAGATTTTTTCATTCGAGACGTTTAAACTTTCAAATTTTTAGAAGGAAACCTTCCTATAGAGAATAACGTACCGGACGAGATATGGTTTTAATTGCATTTTTCTTACGATTTTCTAGAAGATTGTACAGGAAAACATTATGTTAACATTGTATTTTAACAATGATATGTAAAAACTTATCAATGCTATCTGGCTTGTAAACATTAGTTACATGATGTACTTTGAGTTTTTGCTCATTTACTAAACATCTGCATGTATCAGAAATGAGTTATGGAAAAACATATCCCAGAAGGTCGGGCGGAGAGAGGTTAACAAGTATAATTATCTACAGTGCATGGCCAAAAGTACACTTGTGATTATTCACTGTATATTTCAAAAACTATTACCAAATAAACAAATATACTTTAGACAATTTGTCATCTTTCAACACCTGATTTGTAAAAATCCAACCATAAACGACGCATTTTCAATATTATTTGAAAAAAAAGTTTTTATATAAAAAATGCAGGCGACGAATTCTTTTGGTCATGTACTGTATCTCGTTTCGAGCGAGGGTATACAAATAAGTCATATCAAGTAAAATATTAATTTCTGAAATATGCAAGGAAAATTAGCAAATCAGATACTACTAAGCTTATGTTATAAAGATATCGTTTTGATATTGAGCAGCAATCATCATTTTGATAAAATAGGACGAAACATAGATGTGGTTCATGTTTCTAATGAGAGGTAACTCTTCTATAAATAAAAATGCAAATATGCAAAGGGAATTAACTAATTAATAAGGCAGTTCTGTTGGCTTATTTGATATTTTCAGGACGTCAAAATGGTAAAATCCAAAATGACGACCAAAACAATTTGACGTCATTGTTGAATTTTAACCACTAAAATACTAAGAACAAGCTTACCACGCGTACAGTATATATTCAAAACATACACACACACACACACTTATATAAATAGACACTATGTCGATAAAGCAAGATCAGGTAGAAAAGTAATATTATTTCTTACCGTTCTCTGAAAGTAGGTACGAATCCCTTGATGATAAATACAATCAGGCTGAGAGCAGCTGCTACACATACTACCAGTAACCAGACCCATATAAAGAAACAGATTTGCTCATTGAATTCATTGACAGGCACTGAACATTGCAACGTATGATTCAAGTTTGGAATGAACCGATGGAGATTGACATAACAATAAACCTGACGAGGAAACGCTGGTGATGGATCTATCTCGGAATAGTTCCTGCTGATAATGCCATCAACAATATGCTGTCCGTAGGAAGTTTCATTCGTGGGAGATAAATATCCGTCTAGTAGAATTAGCTGAGTTAAAGCATTGGCGAAAAACAAAAATTTTACAAAAATGATTACAATAGCTAGTATCCCAATTTTCTTTAATGTTCGTGATGCAAAAATCACGTTGAAATAATTTGCCAATTCTCTTGCGAGCGCTGTCCTGTCAATGGCAGACAGGGATTTATATCCTCGCACAAGCCCTACTATCTTTGAAGAGCCATATCCAAATAGTGAATCACAAACTCTCAAAAGCACATCTGGTAACCTGAAGAACAAGGCCTGGCAAGCAATTATGACAGGTAACCATTGGTAAAGTGTACGTTGGCTTTCTTTCCTTCGATTATAGTATTCGTCAGAAACAACGGCGTACTCGTATCGGTGTTCTGGATAGTATACAGTTAATTGTCGAGCGGACCAACACCTATCGTGTATATACTTGGACATTTCTGATGTAAAATTCGGCTGATATCTGAGCCCATACGGTAAGTAGCATGAAACATTTGGTCCGACGTGGTGACGCCATGCCGTGACAAGTGCAATTATAATGAAAGCAACAAATGTCCATATACTGCTGAATCGGTCGGCCCAACTGCTATGGTTGATAACTGGTTTGAAATATTTTGAAATCATCTTTCAGAAAAATTTCAGTTGAATCTGAAATATAATTTAAAACAATATTACATGTAAATGTGTACCTGCAGTAAGATTTATACTCATATAAAAAAGATGTACAAATGTAGTATGGTTGCCAATGAGACAACTCTACACCAAAGACCAAATAACATAGAAATTACCTATTATAGATCACTGTACGGCCTTCAACAATGAGCAAAACCCATACCGCATCAGTCCATTTTTCTGTCACCGGAATTATTTTTGGGAAATATGAGCTTCTTAATTTCTTAACTTTATGTACAGGAGAAGATCATTATTCGGTGTATAAACTAAATGCAACAACAAAAAAAATAAATAAAAATATCACTTTTTAAAATTTTATGCGTTCGATGCACTTTTTTGGATTTGCTTACATCAAGAACACTCAAACCCACAATTTTGAAAGAAAAGATATTATATATACTTAAAATAAAAGGGTTAACCTCTTTCATTCCCAAATCCACCTATCTAAGAATCTTTAGCATCTTCTGTTGCTTATTTTAATCCGATAATTTTGCGGGAAAGTATGAATGGACTGTGTCATATTCATACAAATGATATGAATTTGCTCCAGGTTTTTTTTCCAATTTTTCATTTATTCATTTTTTCATTTATTCATTTATTTAGATTTGAGTCGACACTTTGATTAAAAAAATATATTTATTAATTATAGTTTGATATAACTTTATCAAGTTATCAACTGAGTATAGTATATTCCTATAATTCTTTTATTAACATTTGTTGCTAATTATAACAAAATGGAGATCCTTATATCTATATGTATATCAACTTGTGAATTAATTTTAATTGAAAAATATTAATTATCTGATCAGTATACTAAAAAGATAATAAAAATATATTACAAAAACTAATGCCAAAAATAAACATATAAAAACAACGAAACTTAATACTTACGACGCTGACCAAGAAAGTAACAGCTCCTTTCGGACGAAAATCTTAAAGTAACACGTAAATGTGCACGATGGAGATGAAAACTAATTGTTGACGCCCCTACAGACACCTTTGCTGCAAACAAGATGCAGTATAAAAGAATATCTTGTAATTAGTTGACAGGCTACATTTATGTATACAAAGGAGAAACAAAAGAATATGATTGTTTTAGAAATCTCACGATATTAGGTTAAGATAACGCACGTTCATCTTTTATCTTTAATACTTTACTAATTATTGTATTTGTAAGCAAGCTTGTTTTGTGTGGGAAAATGCAGTTTGTTTTGAATATAATATATGTTGCACGAGAGGTTAATATCCTAACAAGAAAATAGAAATGTCGAAAGAAGTTACGACTGTAATTATGAAAGTACATGGTGCTATGTCTTTTCTTGTTCAGGAGGATTTTATAATGAAACCCAGCAACATGAATGCATTCCTTAAATTTTATTATATGATGTCTTCTCTAACATTAGATATTTTTGTCTACAGGTAAATAATTTCTTGTTGGAGAAACGTGATTTTTTGGCAATAGGAATTAATGAAATTTACCTGTAAATGGAGTTACAGTGAATCAAGCTCAAATTAACTTTTGAATGATCTGACGGATTGATAGTTGAAAAAAGGCAAAATTGTAAAAAAAAAATATTTCATCAAAGAGCACTAATATACAAAACAGTGATTAACAACGAAACAAGTTTTCAATGGTTTAAAATTTTCAACAATATTAGCACTGATGGACAAATACACTACACAATCTTGAAATTATGCACAGGAAAATGCTTTAAATTGCTAACACATTAATAATCCTATACAAAAAATTAAAATATTTGAATAAAGCACAAAAAGTAAAATGTAAATGAGGAAAAGGTCAAATGAATCCTTCTAGACAGACATGTACACTTTACAATCATACCATACACCAAATATAGTTAGCCTATTGCTTTAATATAGAATCTAAGAAACATTACCGAGTGTATTGGGAAAAGCAGCTTCTCTAGGTAATGTTGAAGAATGCTCGTTGGGCGGAATAACGGGTAGCTGTCAGTAAAGAATATATGTGGTGTTAGATGGAGTTTATATCTTCAGCAGCAAGTTGAATAAGCGGTCGTATGTCTGCTCACTTTTATTGGGTAGTAGACTAATTTAAAGACGAGTTGGTACATACCTTCATAGACCATTGCGTATATTGTGTAGAGTAATGCAAACTAGGAATGGTACCCTTCAAATGAGTCGTATTAGTCCAATTTATTTAATATTGTTGGTCAATGATTTATTTTCTTAAATGTCACAATTTACAGATGACGTTGCTGTATGGAAATAAGGTACATGCATTAAGTTTTTACAGAAAAAAATAAAAGGCTAAATAATACATGTAAATGGTGCTCTATATGGGGTTTTAAAATTTCTCCATGTAAAAAAGTAGTTATGATATTTACTAGAAGGAAAAATGTAAATAAAACTTTATAGCGTTTTTTCCTACATATATGATTAATGCATAGAATATTTCATATCCCACCTTACTTTTGCCCCCCCCCCCCCCTTTTTATCAAAGTTCTGGATCCGCATCTGTTTATGGTTAATTTTTGACAGGAACTTAACTTTGAATATGCGAAGTTAATAACATAAACGGTTCCAATTTTTCTGCACCAGATACGCATTTCGACAATCAACGTCTCTTCAGTGATTCCCGAGGCCAAAATATTTGAAGATCCAAAGCTTATTAAAAAGATGAAGAGCTATAAACCAAAAAGGACAAAAAGTACAACCAAAACCGGACAAGGAATAAGAGCTATGCATGAGAGAGATTAAGCATATCCAAAATTTACAAACTAAGTGCATAAAAGTTATAAATTGTATGTAATTACTTACAGGAACCAGATTGAGGGCAACCAGTCATACACTTAGAAGAAATATTTATCTTTGATTGGATGAAAAATTCAATATGGTTGTGAAATATAATTCAGCTTCTTTTACAACTAAAAAATGTTAAGATAACATTCAAAATGAAGCATTATGTAAATGTACCATGTCAATGAGATTTGCTTCTTTGAAATCTTTACTAAGCTGAAATGGGTGATCTACCTTATTAAATAAGAACACAGATGCCGACTCAAGATGTAGAACGATACTGTTATGTTTTATTGCAACTCTAGAATTGTTAAACAAAACAAAAACCTTTTTCAAGCTGTAATAAATATTTTTATTTTAGATTATAATCGGAGGTTGAATAACTATATTCGTTTTTTTTATATAGAATAACTCATTTATTTTTGAATTTTTCTGAATTTATTTTTTATTTTAAATTTATTATTAAAAAGTATAATATGAAAATTATATTATAAATTGTATACAGGGCCCACTATCGGTGCATTACATTTGCGCGCAAAAATCATTACGTTTGATTACATTTGTACGCATTCTTTTTTCAGGTAAATACAGGTAGATTTTACTTATTTATTTATTTAACTATTATTTTCGGTCAGGTTAAGTCCGTATTATTGTGTACCAGCACTTAGTCCACGAAATATATACAGATAAAAATATAAAAATATAGTAAATCTAAAGACTAAAAGTACTGTATTTACATGTCGTAATGTGCACAAAAATATATGAATGTGCTGAATAAAAATGAGAATGGAATGATTCCGGGCCGTTTGTAATACGTCTGGATTCTGGTAACGGTAGTGATGTCCAAATACCTGGCGGAAATAGGGAATCTGGTGAAATACCTTTGCAACTATTTACGGTGCATCGCCATGTAATATCCCCTGACTTAAGTGTTCTGTTGATACGGAAACCAAATCTATCTACACAAATGATTTTTTTCCTCCGATATGTTTCTGACAAACGAAAATGTGTGTGCATTGACGCATTTTTACAAACTGACTTATCTTATTTATTAAAGCGATCACTATTCGGTAAAATTATGAAACAGAATACTATATACTCTGAAATATTGGCAATTAAGTTGCATGTATATCTTGAGTTTTTACGGGATTTCTCACGATCACTATATATATATATTTAGAATTCAATATGAGAAATGTACAATCCAGTCACGTCTCATTCATTACAACTGAACGGACGTGCTGGGTCAGCTCTCCTTTACCCGCTATCTTCGATGAGGATTTACTGTTAGATTGATCAACGACTTACTACTATCGATGACAGAAACCAATCCAACGCTGTACAGACTACGTTAGGCTATAATCCGCGTAGGGCTAATTCCCGCGTCAACATACACTCCAAAACCCATTATGGATGGGGGAGTGGTATGCCGAGTGACGTCCGAGAGCTGTATCCTAGGTGTTAGATGATGGACCACAATTTCACTGTCTCACGACTTTGGTCCTGATAATGCTTCCTGTCATCGTTATTACTATGTCCGAGACACATCGACCAGTACTCCATCATCGTGGTTAGCGGGCTGCCAAGCTGACCAACCTGGCCCTGAAAGCAGCCGTTGTGAAGCAATAAAACATCAAAATAGTCAACAAACCAAATCAACTCACCAAGACCAAGATGGCGGCCTACCAAAATGGCGCATTCCACCTGTTCCTGTCCGACTGCGGAAAATATTTAAACGCTCACCAAAAACGCCTTCGGGCACCGAGCCGACTGTGCGAGGGCTGAACAGCCAGTCAAGGTCGTTAAACACTTAATTCCAGTAGTAGTGAGAAATGTATAATATAAATTTACAAATATGTTCAAAGTTCATAATAAATATAGTCATATTTATCATGAATTATCTTTATTTACCTGTGTTACCTGCAAAATGAATGCGCGCAAATGTAATCAAAAGCTGCGCGCAAACGTAAAAAATTTTAATCCCCAAATGTGCGCAAATGTAATGCGCCCCTCAATATAGCTTCCTAAAAACAACAATTTTAATTGCTATATAAACACCAAGCCCTTGTATTGTTTGACACTTGTTAGATAAACGTGAGTTAGATTTTTCTATTGTTGGAAAACCGTGAATAAACCATTGTCATATGTTGCAAAAACAATAGTCTTAATTGCCTGTACATCTGTGGAGTTTATGACCTCTCCGTAAATAACGAGAGAACAACACTTTTTTTTTTAATTATCGTTTTCATATTTCCATCAAATATTAAGCAAAACATGTTGCAAAAAATAAAGGTATCGTACGATATAATTAGTCGCCATTTCCAAGAAATAATATATTTAATTAAATACCTCTGTAAAATTAGTGTCAATTTCAAAGGCTATATTAGATTAAACACCCTTTTAAAAGATAAAAGTAAAAACAACAATTAGAAGTACATCATGCTTAACAAATTAAGAATATATTTTCATTATTACCGAACACGCTTCCGTAGAAGTAATCGAACCATAGTTGCATAAAATTGTTAAAAGATTTATATATTATATATCTTTTTTCAACCATAATAAAACTTCAATTTGACAATGTCAAAAGCATGTCATTAATGTATAAAATTCACCCAGAGCTTCGAATGTTTGGAAGCTACATGTACTTTCAGTTTTATCATTCAGCTGCGGCAGGAGCGTGTGATTTGCCCGTCTTGTATATGCATATTAAAGTTATTGAAGACTAGAATGGAATTTTATCAGAAGAATGGCCCTGCGGAAAAACTAAGAGAGACATTTTTATCTAATGTGTCGTAACTTTAACGGTTAAAGTCCCATAACTCTGGAATGACTAATCGAAAAATTTCTATTTCAACGAATTTCTTTTGCCAATCCTATCAAGTACAATTTAAATAAAACTATAGCTAGTATGCGACATGTCATTAAAACACCGGAATAATATATTGCAAAATTTTCAAAATCAGAAATCAAAAGGGAGTTTACTTATTACAAACCAATCAACAGCCTAAAGTTTCAAGTAATGTGTACGATATGAGAAAAAAATGCATTAAAGCTGACGCTTATGGTCCAGTTATCTTGGAAGGACAACCCCCCAAAAAAAGTAAAATAAAAAACCCAGCTTTGTTTCACCCATTTCATACAAGTTTCATGAAATTTATCAAAGTCTTCTCTTGCTTTTTTATGACAGACATACAGACGTATGGATGGACAGAAAGCCACTTGTTGTATACCATATAACACATCCCGACTATGACGACTGTATAAAAAGATAAGGATGAGAAATATCACGTCATGTTATTGAAACAAATTTCGTAGTTTTACATTTATCGAAAAAAATGTTAGATACGAAATGAATTGTCCTGTCTACTGTACTCTTCAGTACAAGACGAAAACTATATTTGTGGCTATATAAATTATCAAATATTTGGGCAAACTGTCCAACCAAAGTACTTTCTGCTTCAGTTTAGATTTTCGCTTGATATCTAAATATCGAACCGTAAAAAAGGCAGGGAAACCGGCACGAACCATTAATAAATCGTATTTGGTAGAAATACACATGGTCTATCCGATTTGCATGCAACCAGCCAGCCTTGTTACTTCCTGTTTGGAAATTAGATGATGTAGGCAACGTCATTCCTTCATAAACTAGAATCGTACTTAAATCGTAATGAAGAAATTAAAGCATTTACATTGTTTTTCTATCAAACAAAACGATTAAATATGTCCTACAAATAGTATGTATGTCAAGATAGCAGTAACCACGGTAACCATGGTACACAACATAATAAAATATTGAAATCTTGTATGAGTTTCATTTGTTTCCTTCATGGTTCGGTGTTTCAATGGAAATAGAGTTCTCGCCCATTGTGTAAAGATTGCTTCTCTTGCTCCCTTCCATGGAAGTGGACCCGTAAGACGATACTGGTATGCTGCACACGGATGAAAAGTGCAGGCATAGGCCAACCTGGGATCTGTGAGCCACAATTTACCTTAAAATATAAAATACGTTTAATTAGTTCCATTAAAGCGATGTATTTAATTTGAAATTTAAAAGATTTTTGGAGATTTTGTGGAGTTTTGAAAACGAATATTAAGTATTTATTTTTCCATGAGTGATAACAAAATATATATTTGAATCAAAATTCGTCTGAGCAATCTTTAACTTTGATAATTAAAACTTAACTTACACAGTCGAGGTTTGCAACCTATAATGTCTGCTAATTCATCGAGATAACCGATAAATTCCACCATGACAGTGTGACGTAATGAATGAGTATAATGCTTGGCTATTTCTTTTCTTTTCTGGTAGATGTCATCCCACATCTGCTTTCTGGTCGGCAATTGCACGTCTCCCTTCAATGAACACCTTGCATTTTTGTTAATTTGTCCTGTTGGTTTGCTGTCAGATTTAATCTGATGCATACGTGATGAGTTTTTGGTATTTAATAATTAAACAAGCAAGGAATTGTAACATCTTTGCACTATATAATCATATGTTCTTTGACTATAGGTCTGGATATGACGAAGATCAGTACAAGTGAAATGACATTAATTAATGACATCACAATAATACGGAAAGTTAAATGCATGAAACACGGACATAGTAGACGAGAAAGGGTGGGTGGGGTGGGGGGGGGGGGGGAATAGGGACAACTGCTATGTTTCCCCCACACTATGTTGTAATCTTGCTTTATAATCCAAATAAAAATGAAAGTGGACACTCATTTGACTAACTATTACACTACATATGTATTAGTCATAAGACTATTAAAAAGCTTTATTTTAGTGTCACTTTCAGAAGTCCAGCCCCACCCTCACTTTTCAGTTCATTCCTACAACACTGAATGGCATATATAGGCTATTTACTAAAATACACAATTTACTGCCTTATCCGAAGTTTAAAATTTGCTACTTAACATTGGAAATTTACCATATTTTTCAGACATGGTAATTTTATTTCATTCTTTTTGAGAGGTGTAAAGTAGTTTTTACCTTAAAAACACGTGTCGCAACCCTGCTCTGTAGTTCTGCTACTGGCGTAATAGATCCCAACGGCTGTACACATCCAATAACAGAGAAAGTAGGTTTAGTTAAATTTGGCGGGAATATAAATTTATACAGGTCCACTTCGTTGTTCCTAGATTCCGTAATTTGTTTGTCTACATAAGGAAATCCTATTTTATATCCCGTCGCAAATATTACAACGTCTATATCATCGTACACCGATCCGTCAACAAAGACTACACTACTTTCGGTAAAATGTTTAACATTTGGTCTTATCTGAACTAGTCCGTTTGCTATTCTCAAATGAAATTCGTCGCTAATTAATGGATCCTGTGCTCTTGGAGGATAATTTGGCTTTAGTCCATATTTTTCATGATCAAACCGTGCGTTGATCTGCATCTCTGTTAAGCTATTCAATAATGAGAGAGGCAAGCATTTTTGGAAATACTGAACTGCTCTTGTTGTTCCCAACATATCAAATGGCATCCCTTTATTTCCTATCCTCTGAATAACCCAACTTCCACTTCTAGTACTCAGAACAACCTATAAAATACATTTTAAATTCATAAAAAATATAAAAACGTTAAAAAAAAAGGATAAGAAGTGAATATATTTTAGACAACATATCTATTATAATCTATTGGCTTCATCGGTAAGCTTCCGTTTGATAAACTGCCATTGGCGTAAGCGTGTTCAGCCTCGGAATGATTTTTATTTTTGATTTAATATTGAACACATTTTTAAAGGCAAAATTATAAAAAAACACCAAATTATAAGGTTTATGGATATATGCAGTAGAAATGCACTGGTGGTATAACCATGCAACTGAGAAGGGAATTGCTTTAAGGTATATACAGATATATTTATTTGTTCTTTCAAATCGAGTTTCAAAAGAACCATATTTTTTCATGTATTTATTTGTACTTAACGGTACTATACCAACCCAAAAATTCAACTGGTATATTTCTAAAAATTATTTCAAGATATTTCATTTTCATTTGAACTTTTATATAAAGTATACATGGGATTTCGAAAACGGTTGAAGGTCTTACCTTTGAACTTACGCGACTGAGTTCACATGCAATATCAGCACCAGAATTTCCTATACCAATGATGAATACACGTTTTCCAGAAAATTCTAACGGGTCTCTGTACTGCACGGTATGAAGAGTTCTACCTTTAAATGTGTCCTGACCATCAAAAGCAGGCAGAAGTGGCGCTGTATGGTGACCTGTAGCCGCCATAACACCATCAAATATTTCATTGATGATTTTTCCGCTTTTTATGTCTTTTATTTTAAGTGTCCATTTTCCGGTTTTCTCAAAATCAACTGTTGGTTCACACCACACTACCTATGAATAATGAAGAGAAGGTTCACACCAAAATTACCTATCATGAAGGAAGAGAATATTCACGCCAAGCTACCCATCTATAATGAATATATGGTTTACACCAAACTCCCTATCAATAATGAAGAGAAGGTTCACACCAAACTACCCACCAATAATGAATAGAACCATGAATATAAAAAGTCTTCATGCAGTAGGTAAACACATTTTAATTGTTGGAATTATTTTTTAATTCTCTGATATTAAGATGAGAGATAGATAAAAAGATACTTTGATCTTTCAATATAATAAACGATGCATTAAACACAAAGATGGACTGTTGCGTCTGACGGAAACTTGTTATCTTTTTGGTAGCATAGATTGTAACAGTTGATCATTCCATAAAGTAAGACTAAGCCATATTCGAATACATGGAATCGCTAACTAAAGGAACTAATTTGTTAACTTAAACAATCTTCTTTTTCTAGATCGTGAAAGTATTCATAATGATGTCACAATACCTCTTTTTGAAACTGCACGTGTCGTAGAAGATTGAAATGTTCAGCATACATTTCCAGATATTTCTGAACGAGGGTGTTGTGCATAAACATTGGGAATTCTTTTGGAATAGGAAAGTCGCTGAAAGCCATAAGTTCCTTGCTGACATTGATGACTGTAGATTTCATAACCGTACCTCGTCCGTCTTGTGCTTTGGGGGTATATTTCCATAATCCTCCTAAATTTAATGAATTTATCATTTGTTAGAGATTTGAATAGTAAGGCGTGTATTAACAAGGAATAAAAGTGATCGCAAGATACATTTAAATGAATTTGGAGTGTTTTATTTATAATTTAAATAATTTGTTTTTCAAGTATCGACTCGTAAAATGTCGGAAAACTTAAAAAAAAATTCTATGGAAACAGAAATCAAAGCGAGGATGGCCGAATTTTTTCCCTGTTTCATTGCGAGTGCATACGATTTTATTATCTTTGACAATTTCCTTCTTCCTGCATTTCAAACTAAAGTTGTCGTCTTGCATAGACGCAAACAGTTAAAACGACACCAAACTTTATTCTGAAGTAAACAGTAATTTTGATAAAACCGTTTGCTTTGCTCGTTATAGCAATATGGTTTCAGGAGATAATATTTGTATATATATACGAATATAGTGCACACATATTTATGAATCCTTATTTGAATAGTAGAATGTCGAATTGCGGTATAACATGTATTTTGTGACAGAAATACAGTCAATTACAGATTCATTTATAATTTTTCGCCGCGAGGTTTCGGCGAATATATTCCATAATGATTTTCATTGCTTAGAAAAGAGAGACGGAAGATCACAAAGTGATTTTCTAACTCATGCGTTGATAACAAACTGACAAAACGGGAAAACAACCAAAAGAAAAACAACAGGAAACAAAACACAATGTAGAAAAGAAAAGACTGAGCAACAAGAACCCCACCAAAACTGGGTTAAATAAATTAATTCGCATCCAAAAGAGAAAACCAACGATCTGACTTATAGTACCACAAGTTGTATTTACAATATTATTTTAAGAGTTGTAAGTGGTCGTGGAAACAATAAACAATAAACATTTTGTGATCATTCCACATTTTATCCAGTCGCTCGTTGTTATGAATGTTTATAGTCATTATAGTTGAAACGTATATGAAAACCTAGGGACACACCGTGCATGCTTTTTTCCGCGATTATACATATTGACAAATTCTGAAAATAAAGTCACTTATCAATAAAAAGACACAAACGCAGGTGATTGAGTAAGTATCCCCCTTTTTCGGTGTTTATACATTCCCCCACAGGCATTTGTCTCTGAAAAAATGTCATATATACCTTATTTATAATGCTATATTTAGGTATATACAGAAAAAATCAGAGACAAGTGCATGTGATTTCCCACAAAAAAGAAATAGGAATATCTAAAAATGAGTATTTGCCGTTTACTTTTTGTAATTCACATATACAATGCTATTCTGGATGGAAAAACATTTCCAAATTTCATCAGTTATGAGACGGCTAAAGTTATTACTTGGTAGACAGCAACGAATGACAACCACTGGATTACAGGCTCCTGGCTTGTAAAGGGTGAATAAAGAATGTGACGGATTTAAACACTTTGGGACTGCCCAACCTTCTTGTAACCCGGGACAATGTTTATATAAAATTAGAACACAATGTAAAAAAAATACAAGTCGGAAAGGTTTTAATGAAATAATGGCTTGTCCATTGTTGAAGGCCTATAACTAAATATGTCACAAAAATAAATGAAATTTATAACAAACCTATGCCTTCTGTTAGTTCAAAGCAGACTGGGTGTAGAGCCTCGTCAAGACAACATTTAATAGCAGGAAGTCCGCTGGCTCCGGCACCAATGACAGCTATTCGTTTTGTCTGTATAAAAAAAGTTACTGAACATGTAAATAAAACTATGATGAGTTATTCAAGAAGTAATTATCTTCATAGAGATGAAAGAACAGGAATCAGCTGGGACATAACTTGGTCCCACGATTAAATCAAATGCATTTTAACAGGTTCTGACCAGTGGATATTATTTTCTAAACCAGACAGTCATATTGAGATGGGGACAATTTCCCTTTTATTTATTTCATATCAAAGCCATTTATTAAAAAGTCTTTCAATCTTTGTAACATTCACGGTATGACAGCTTTATGTGTATAATTTGAGGTCCTGACAACATAATGGTGAACTTCTGAACATGTACCAAATTTTAAAGGCCATAAAGATGGTGATAAACTTTGGCAGATTTTGATAATTTTTTTAGTAATTATTTAAAAAATGAATAAGGACACTATTAACCGAAACAAAATTTTAGCGAGGCTAAAGTTTTATTTTGTCCTTCAAATACAAATTTATAACTATTTATGTTGGTAAAAGTTGTCCTTCAATGCAAAATTTTACAAAATCATGTAAAATGTGCAGTATTGTGAAAACTCTATCATCACGGTAAACTTTTTTCTTCAAAAACATGTCACCTTCAAAGTTTATATATCTACACTTCGGTGTTCTCGAGTATGAAGGTTGATGTGCCTTCGTTCGCGTAAAAAAAACTTTTCGTCTTCAGCATGCAGGATTTAAGAATAAGAAAAAGACTTTGAGACAAAATTGTCCGCGTAAAGCGACATGACTTTCTGTGGGCTATTACCTTATGAGCTATGCACGTTACAAATCTTAATCGGTGTGTCGGTCTAACACAAACCTGAATACATTCTTATGACATCAAACTATTATCTTCCAGAATATGCAAATGATACTTGCCGCTGGACTTTAAACACTAACAATCAATAAAAGACCCATAAGATTGATTCAAATGATAAAAAAGAAAACAAAATCTGTAAAATAATACTTTAAAAGTCTATTACTACTACTATTTATTACTTATGTTAAACTGATATGTTTAGTAGGCATATATATGTTGTGTACATGTTATCATTTTGTACAAATTATAATTTGTACAAAAAATTGTACAAATCATAATTTGTATTTTGACTTTGTACAAATTGTAATTTGTACAAAAAGTGCTTGTACAAATTACAATTTGTACAAAATTTGACTAAAATTCACTTATAACTTGTACAATAATTTATATTATAGATTTTGTTATAAAAAAAAGCATTGATACACATTAAAGAATTTTTATTCAATGACCACACAATAAACCTTATTTACAAAATACAAAAATACCCAGATGAGGACAGGAAATGTAATTGATACTTGTTCTGATAGTACAATGGAAATTGGGCCCAGTGGCAATTCTAATAGAATAATAAAAATTGGTCCCAATGACAATTCTGATAGTATAATAGAAATTGGCCCCAGTGACAGTTCTGATAGTACAATGGAAATTGGCACCAGTAGCAATTCTAATAGAATAATAAAAATTGGTCCCAATGACAATTCTGATAGTACAATAGAAATTGGCCCCAGTGAGAATTCTGATAGTATAATAGAAATTGGCACTAGTGACAACCAGGATGACACTGACGTTGAAACACCAATCATATGTGTCAGGAAGCATGCGTTGTCTGGCCAACAGATCTAACAAGCCGAATATCTAACCAAGAAAACAAGGGGATATAGTCATTATACCAATTCCTCAGTATGATCGTGCCCCAACTGATCCTCGAAATATCTTAGGTGTAATTATTGGATCTGGGGCATTTGGGTACCGTTTTGGAACAGCTGTAGGAGTTTTAACAGGATATTTGTCGAAAAATCAAATTTAAGATGACAAGGACACATCTTTATTCGCAGCAACGGTTCCTGAGCTTCAATTTTCGCTACTTGAATCAGTTAAAAATCTTTCAAAAACTGATGGTCAGGGTCCACCAGGGGTTTCTTTTGTATAAATGCAAAGGGGTTGCAGCACTTCTAAATGAAAATGTAAAAAAAAAAAGATTTTGTGCAATTCTTGATGCCATAATTCACTCACATGCGCAAAAAATGATACAGAACTATGTTTGTATTTTGTAAATAAGGTTTCAAAAACTGGTGGTCAGGGTCCGTCAGGGGTCTCTTTCATCTAAATGCAAAGGGGGTGCAGCACTTCTAAATGAAAGTGTAAAAAGAAAGATGTTGTGCGATTCCCGATGCCATAACTCATTCACATGCTCAAACAAATGATACAGAACTATTTTTGTATTTTGTAAAAAAAGGTTAACTGTGTGGTCATTGAATAAAAATTCTTTAGTGTGTATCAATGTTTTTTTTTTATAACAAAATCCATACTAAAATATTGTTCAAGTTATAAGTGAATTTTAGTCAAATTTTGTACAAATTGTAATTTGTACAAGCACTATTTGTACAAATTACAATTTGTACAAAGTCAAAATACAAATTATAATTTGTACCAAATGATAACTTGCGCACAACATATATATACTCTATTGAAGCATAGAAGCATGTAACTTAATTAATTTCTTATTATATTATAGCCACAAGTATGGTTCTTAAAATAACCCTGTTATTATATCATTATTATTATTGTTCTGATGTTTTTGTTCATAGTAATGCAATTTTTGTTGTAAAAAAATAACATACATACCATAATTTATATGTGTTTTCTTGATTCTCAAAGTAGGTAGTTATTCTGCTCCGTTTTTATTGCTTGTATATGTTTAAATAGTAGCACTCAAATAGTTATATCACTAAATCTTACATGGAGATATGGGTTTATAAGATGTCAACAAACTATTCGGTTAATGTCACCTGAATAGGATGATGTAGTATGGTCATTTTAGAGCAAAAGGTCATATGTGTTTCAATCCGATTGTGACCAAAAGTTATATACGGAAGTAGATGGCTCTTCCAACATTGATAAAAAATTCTAGAATAAACGGATCACTCTGCTAATTTGATAGTTTAATCACCAATTTTTCACCATAAAGGTTCATATAGCCCGTGTCTTACCAGGGGCGGATCCAGCCATTTATAAAAAAAGGGGGGGGGGGGGGAGGGGTTCCGGGGGTTGAATCCGCCACTGCTTACATGTAAAAGTTTATGTTCCTATTCTGGATTATGGCAGTCATGCAATAGCTAATTATACAAATGATAATAGTTTGAAGAGATTTTCGACAAAAGTGATTTGCAGTATATATATTTTTTCTACATTTTTTTACATTTTATATTACAAAACTTGTTATACTGTTAAGTAATACATGTAATATATATTTATAATATTCACAAGTATACCCATATATACATCATTATATATAAATAGCACATAGCTGAGATGGTGATGTTCAAAGTTTCAAAGTTCAAGTTCTTTATTGTAAACTCTCAGACACATATAGTGTTACAGAGGAATTCAGTGCATATATTCAAATGGAAATGGCAGCTAAAATATACAAATGCGTATCATTAAATTAATTATGAGCAGTACAACTACTTACAATATTTTTTCTACATTGCTCAAAAACATAGCTATATTCTTTAAGACCTTTATATTACATAATGAGAATAGTCCATACATTTTATATATAGATGGATAACGTGTATAATATGTTGGAATATACTGAGGTCTAAGAGATATTACTTTAACATGGTTACATACAAAAAAGTAGTGGTATTCATTACCTATTTCATTCAAGTTACACAAATGACAAATCCTGTGTTCCATGGATGTACCAACCCATCTACCTGTTTCGACTAGAAATTTTATATTTAAGCATCTTAGTTTACATATAGTTAAACGATCAACTTTAGCTAATTTTAAAAGATATCTTTGTAGTCCAAATTCTTTTTTTAGGCATAGATAAAATTCGCCTCTAGAAGATTTACCCATATCACTATTCCAGTTCTGGTTAACATTATCTAATAACTTTTGCTTTACTAAACCATTAATATCATTATTATGTAACAAATACTGACCATTCCATATATCAGATAAACCTGTATTATCAAATGTAGACTTGATACATTCTATCCATTTAAATCTAAAGTTATGTGTACCTTGTAATGTGTACAATAATTTATACAATATCCCTGATCATTTACTTGAGTTTTGTAATAATCTCTTCCAGAAGTTCAACATTCTAAGTTTTACTTGAATATGCAGCGGATATCTTCCACTCTCTCCATAAACCATATAATTTGGTGTACTAGTACGAATTCCCAGGATCTTCTTAATAAACTGCAAATGAACTTTCTCAATATCCTTCATATTTTCGAATCCCCAGACCTCAGAGGTATATAGCAAAATAGGTGACACTAACTAAGCTGTCAAATAATTTTAACTGAAGATCTACTGGGATATTCAAATTCCTAGTACGTCTAAACAGAGCAAAAAGTGATTTTTGTGCTTGGTGAATCAAGTTTTTCTTGCTAGAAAGAAATTATCGTTATATTTTAGAGTTTAACCCAAGTAAGAGCAATCATCGAAAACTTTTAATGTTTCACCAAATAATTTAAAATCATAATTCAGTCTGGATTTTCGTTTTGATAAAATAACAATTTTTGTTTTCTGCGAGTTCACCTTTAGTTTCCATTGTGAACAGTAGTTCTCAAATTTTTCTAACATAGTTTGAAATTTTTCGGGACTCTTAGCTAATAATATTGTGTCGTCAGCATATAACAATAGAAATAAATGTACATAACACTGACTTTTTTCTTCACACAAGTTGGTAATCATGTCAAGTCCTGAAACATCATTTTCAGTGAAAAAACTTTCTAAATCATTCAAAAAAATTGCAAATAAAAATGGAGATAGATTTTCTCCTTGACGTACACCAATATCACAACTAAAGAACTCAGATAATGCATTACCTTGTTTGACACATGATTTTATACCGTTATACATATTAACAATTACTCTCAATATTTTACCATTAATTCCACTAGCTAAAAGTTTTTGCCATAAACCTACCCGCCAAACTGTGTCACACGGTTTTTTTAAAATCAACAAAGGTACAAAACAGTTTTTTTTTCCATACATAAATAGATTTGAATCAAAGCATACAAACAAAAAATGTTATCTGTGGTAGAGTAGCCTTTCCTAAATCCAGCTTGTGATTTTAATATAAGTTCGAGATCTATGTAATCGGCAATATTTGTCAACCTCGTATTCAATATATATGTGAATAGTTTGCCGAGGTTTGATATTAGGGTAATGGCTCGATACGAGTCTGGATCAGTTGGATCACCCTTGTTTTTGTATATAGCTTGAATTACCCCTATGGTCCACGACTCTGGTATTAGACCATTATCCAATATCAAATTAAAAAGTTTGGTGTATATCGAAATCATTTAATCAGACGTGGATTCGATATATTCATTTAAAATATCGTCAAGGCCGGGTGCCTTTGAATTTTTAAAATTTCTAATAGCACATAAGATTTCTTCTTCATCTATTGGTCTGTTCAAAATATCGTGTATGTGCTGAATTTCTTCAGCATCAAATTCAGAGTTAAAATCGGAATCATTATCGTTTGCGTCATCATTCTGGCTAAGTTTTTTTTTAAATAATCAAAAAGGTCACTCAAACTGACTTCAGACTTACTCTTTTTATTTTTGCCGCTAAATTTATTAAGAATTTTCCAAAATTCTTTCGGGTTGAATTTAGTGGTTTTTCTGATCTCTTCCTCCATCCGTAAAGAGTAATCAGAGAAGCCTCTATCCAGCTCTCTTTTATATAGTTTACTGGCTTTTTTCATTCCTGCTTTATTATGTGCATTCCTTGCCCAGCCGTATTTGCGTTTTGCTCTATGAAATA